ATTCCCATTGTGCTCTTCACGCCGGCCAACGTGCTGACCGACAAGGCGGCGTGGCTGCTGACCGCGCTGGCCGTCGCGATCAAGCTCGGCTGGGGCGGTCTGGAGACATCGGTGCGCATGATGGAACCATACTACATCCTGTGGCGCCGGCACGCACCGGCCAAGACGCTGACTCTCGACTACACGGCGATGCCCTTCCTGTGGGTGGCGCTGCAGGCGCTCAAGAACGGACATTACCTGGTGTTCTTTGTGGGCTTCGGCACGGTCATGACCGAGGTTCTGACAGTATTGGTGACGTCGCTAGCCACAGTCGAGGGCCACGACTTTATCGGAACGGGCGCGTCGTCGCCAACGGCGGACACCGATGCGGACAGCGGCGAGGAGACGGCGCTGTCGTTTTGGCTGACGCTCGGCCTTGTCACATTTATCCTGTCGTACATGAGCATCGTGGCGACAGTGGTGTTTATCCGGCGGCGGCGTCCATTCCTGCCTCGGCAGCCCAACACGATCGCGTCGGTGCTTGCGTACATCCACCAGAGCAAGATGCTGTGGAGCTTTGTGGGCACGAGCAAGAGCAGCAATGCCGAGATGCTGGTCAAGCTCGAGGCAATGGGCCACAAGTACGGCCTGGGATGGTTCGAGGGCCGTGACGGTAAGACGCACTGTGGCGTGGACCAGGAGGAGCTGATGAGCAGCTACAAGCTGGGCTACGACTACTCGCGAAGCAACAAGCCGTGGAACGATCAGCCCGAGGAGTGGCTGTAGATGTGCGCGGCAGAGCTCGAGTTGTGGTGATGTTGTCAAGTCTATTCAGGCGTTTTGGTGTTTTTCTATGACATGTTGTCTTGGCGAAAAGGCGTGGAAATGATATCCGGAAGCATGTTAACAGATTGTTAACATGGAATATAATGCATCTGTTTCTCATGTAACATATGTCAAAGGCTTTCCAATCGATTTTGAAGAATTTCTAACTTGCGATCAGTGACTTATGTTATTTGTGCCTTGTTTTACTATTGTATGTGTAGATACGACAAGGTTCGCGTGAATATGAAATATTACGAATTAAAAATAAAAAAGCAATACACGTATTTTTAACACTATTTGGTTTATTTTACTTTCTGTATTTCTTTCTTTTTGATGCCCTGTTCATTTCCATGTCATCGCATCTCGTGACTATGACGTCCTACCGACCAAAAAGCCAAACAGTCCCGGATTTCTGGGTTGCGAGATTGCTGTTGATTAAGCAGGATTTTCCTCCACGAAAAGAAGGCATCGCCAGTTTGTTCATATTGCACATGCCGCCCTGCGGCATCCATCCCTTTTGCTTGGCCCGCTCGCCTCTGCCCGCGAACTGCAGCGCATACTCCATACTCACACAGCAGAATAGATTAAATAAAGCACACGTAGTAAACACAAGGCAATCCGTCGTCGATCCTTCCCGGCTTGGCCTCTTCCAACTCCTCGCTGTCACGATCTCCTTTCCGGCTTTTCTGCACACGCCTCACTATCGAATAGATTGCCCCCCCCAACTATGTACGTCGCACTACCGTGCCTTTCTTTTCCGTCTCGCAGTGTGCATTGTAGCAAAATGGGTAAAGGCGGCAAAAAGTGGCACGCCCCAGGTGTCTTGTTCCGCGCTGTTTCAAAACTGGGAGCGGCCCCTTTTTGCTGTTTGGAATAGACACAGCGCAAGGAAGACTTACGTTGTCAAGGTTGAGTGCCGCAGTACAGAGTACGAAGTACGTCGTAGCTCACTGAAAGTGAAAAAGAAAATGGATGTGAGAAGACAGGTTATAAACAAAAGAGTACGCACAGAGCGAAAGTCACGATTCTCGACGTTCACACCATAAAAGCCTCGCAGATCAACCAGAACCATAGATGCCTCTCTTGTCTGTTCCTCATGACCACGGTCACACACTGCATGGATGGCTGAGCCTAGATGCAGCCGCCAGCCAACCCCTATGCAGCCCTCTTCTCTCTAGAGAGTGTTCATGGTCATGTTTGATGATCGCGAAGGGGCTCCCTTGCGCGCTCCCCTCGTTTGTTTCTGATTCGGCCGTCTCCCACGTTTTGTCTCCCAAGAGCTCCCAAGAGCTCCCAACGGACTCGATCGTCTGGACCCTGCGACCCTGAGTTTAAACCTTGTTTTCCATCTCTTTGCCTCGTCCTCTGACAACTTTAATTTTATTTTTGTAACAAGAGCACATGCTGCCTTGTCCGGCGTGCGTTCTCGTTCCCTTTACCTGGATCGGGCAGAACGGGACCCGGCCGCGCGATGCCATCCATGAGAACGAGTGCATCACATCGACCGGCGGCCCAAAACACAGCTCGGGTCGCAGATTGCCAAGAATTCGTGTTATCTGCCCCCAAGTCTCTATTTGTGAAGCTGTCGATCAGTTCGATCGTCCGTTCATCCCGTCGGGCATCCAAAAAGTGTCGACACGATTTGGCACATCCAGATATCGACGATCTGAAGGGTAGGAAGGCAAACTGTATTTCCACCCTGACTGGCATCTCGGATGGCTTACAACAATACAGCGTCTCGAGCCGTGCATCAAGTCAAGCCGTATTAATACGGGTCAGCCCCCGTTCTTCTGGCTTCTGCTTTCTTGGCCGAGCAGCCGCCCCAGTATCGCATTCCAGTCAGTGCCGACTGATGACATCGACCACAGTCCTTTCGTGGGTGTACAGCCTCATTCATCGTTTCGAAGAGCCCTTGTACCGTGTTGTGTCCGTCGTCGGGCGTCGTCCTTCACTTTGGATTTTGGTCGAGAGGCTTGGTGTTTGTCGTTCTCGTCTCAATCCACGTTTGTCTTCTTTGTGTTGTCGATCATTTAAGTGCTGTCTTTGTTACGACTCCCCAAACATTATGCAGACAATCGTTTGTTGACGGCGAAGGCCCCGTACTGTGATTGGCCCTTGGCTCTGTTAGTAGAGCCTGTGCCCAGTTGTCCCACTGTTCCTCCACCCTTTCGTTCGTAACAACTGCGTGGCTGTGCAACTAAGATTGCGATTTGTGTTCTGATGGAGCAAACAAACACGCGCGACCATGCAACTCGCACAGTCGTACGCAGACGCAGGCACGACCTTTGCAGACGGAGTCATGTATCGGATTCCTGGCCAAATGAATCTTTTACGGGCCTGGCCTTGGTAGCCCTCGTGCTTTCGAAGTGACATGCTGCATGGTCGCTGGCCTCTGACAATTGGTGTTTTGAGACAGGCTACAAGCGAACAGGGCCGTCCCCACCCACCAGCACTTGACCTCTGCTTTGATCTTGTTGTGGGAAGACTCACCAGCCAATAGACCTTCACTGGACCGAAAGGCTGGTTGTCCGGCGGCTGACCACGCGTTCTGCAGCAACACCGCATCACCTGTATCGTTGCAGGACAGCCCTGTGTCTGTTGTCACAACAGTACGCCGTAATACTCTCTTTCGTTGTTCCAAGGACCACATCGCGCTCTTGGGCCTCAGGATGGGCTTGTTCGTCGTGTTTCAAGATAGCCGACGCTGAATCTGGCTGAACTATGGGCAACAGCCAGCCTGAGAGCTGCAGGCCGTTCGGCTGGGGCCTCCTTTCCAATGTCCCTTTGTCTTGTTCCAAACAGCTCCCAAACACGAGCCGATGGTGGCAGTGCAGAATGGGGAGAGAAGCTTCATTTCGTTCGTTGCGACGCGCCTTCCCCGTATTTTGGTATTGTGGAATTTTGGCGTTGTCTCCTGTTTTCTGGGCCTCCATTCCCCTGAACAATCCGGGAAGGTGCATTTCCCAAAGCGACCCGAGAATTAATACGGAGTAAGCTCGTATCAATTGCGCCCAAGAAGACAGTGTTGCAACGCATGTAGCACTGTGCCAGGCCGCTCCTGCACTCTGAGAATACGAATGGTGTGCGCGTCACCTTGCACTCACTTCTCGCTCTCCTTTGTCGCTTCCTATTTTTTCTCTACTGCTGAACGCTCCTTCCCCACTGCGCTCAGGGGTGGAAAGTGTTCTGAAAGTGGGCCAGGGCACGCCCCAATTGGCAAGTAAGAGTGAGAGATCAATTCCTGGGCACAAGAGTAGATGTACAGTAGTTGAAGAGCCGGCGCCAAGACGACGTGAAGGACAGGTGCTTGGGACCAGCAGGTCTAGTTGTCTAGGTCTGGCCTAGAGGCAAAAAGAAAAAAAAAAACGCGCGACATTGCATCTAAATTAAGAAACAAAGAGCGCAAGAAAAAATGGGGGAAAGATGTCAACGAGGTCACCAAGCAGCCGTCGTGTTTTGATAGTGATGTGCACTGTGAAAGCCCGGGAAGGACCTGAAAGAGGGACCTGAAAGAAGCACGACGCAGAAGGTGTCGCAGTGTGGCGAGACAACAAGGAAGTGCGCAGCCAAGAGAACAAGAGACAAAAGAACAAAAGATCGAGGCAGGCAACACACCCTTGCAAAACGACGGCCTGTCATCCAAGGCTACGACTACGAGACGGTCCTTCGTCAGCGACCGCAATACGAATCCAGAAACAGCATCCAAAGCCGAAAATAGGGACGAAATGCACACGGCGCAGCCGCGTACGAATTATGACAAACGACAAACGCGCCCGAATAAGTCGATGCAAAAAAACAAACGAGATGCATTGCAACGAGAACTGAAAAGATTCCATGCGGCGCCCTTGACCGGCTGGCTCGGCGCTGCATTTGATTTCTCTTCAATACGAGGTGACACACAGTGTCTATACTGGAGTAGAGGCATGAAGATGTACTCTCTCCCATAATAATCGTGGTGAATACATTATTGCGGGTAAGAAGAACCCCACAAATATGCACACTGTGTTATGGTACATATTTAGCGTAACACCAGACGTAGCAGCGGCATGTACCCCAGCACCTGTGGCCACCGTGTGAGTGGAACGCCGGTCGGGCACCACCATTAATAGCGATAAACAGTAGGGGCTCCAGGGGACATTCAGTGTGCATTACTGTATTCGTAAGATACGGCATACTTCACAGGCTACAGCAGCACGCTATCCACGCTCTACAGGCGTCGGACGGCCATTAATGCCCCTGTTACCAGTCCAATCGCTATTGGCACACCCTTCACCCCCTCTATCCCGCACTTTCATTTGTCCATGCATGGATGCGCCCACACCCCTGTCACTCTCCTGACCTGCTCGTCCCAGACTTATGTGCGCTTGGGTGTGGTTTGGTGCCAGGTGCCTCTCCTGCACTGTCACCACTTCGCTCCGCCCGAGTACGAGCTTCAGCGACTGTCCAGGTCTCAAATCGTCCCAATCCAGAAGTAGCCACGGCCTCTCGCTGGCTACGTAAGATACAACTGGCACCCACTTTTTGTGGTCCTCGCCTTCCCTGTTTGTTCTGTCGCTCCTGCCCCCGGTCATGTCCTTGTTCTTTTCCCTCGTAACTCCCTCTTGCCCAATGTTCTGACGCCCCTTTGCTCCTGCCACTGCCAGCGACAGACACCAACCACCACCATACCACAAAGGAAAAACAGAAGGAGGCGGTCCATGCTCTCGCTTTCCTCCTTTTCCTCTCGTCATTGTCCACTTCCTCTCGTTTTCATCATCACCAACCGTCCATCACCACTTTGATTTCGTCCCCTCTCCCATCCGCGTTTCCTTCGCTCTTTATCTGTGGTGCAATCGCCGCTCTCACTTTTGTTTTCGACTCGCCAGCAACCGGCTCTCCCTTCGGCCTCCCTTCCTCTCGCCTGCGGTCGCGCCCCCCTGAAAACAGTCAATTTCCTCCCTCGCTTGTCGTCGTGGGTTCGTCGTCTTTGCCATCGACCGTCCTGCACATCGTTCGACACTCGCTTAGTCTGTGAAAGTAACTCTTCACATTTTCTCTCGTTTTTGTATCGTCAGCATCGATTTCGTCGACGACTCGTTCAATAGCGACCCATGATTTCCCAGACGTAAATTCGTTATCCATCGACTTAACTCGCCAACCACAACCAAATCGAACAGAGGACCACCACCGCCCGGTCCCTCTCTAACCGCAATCATGTGGTCTTCCGCGAGGTCACTCCTCTTTGCCTTGGTCGGCGCGCTCAGCATCACCGCGGCTTCGGCCGACCAATTGCTAAAGTCCAACTCGCTCAACACTTGCCAGGCCAACTCCGGTTTCACGGCCAGTCTCTTCGATGTCGTCTTCACGCCCAACAACAACTCCGCCAGCGTCAACATGGTCGCCGTCTCCTCTATCGAGGGCCATGTCCTGTTCGACGTGAACATTATCGCCTACGGTCTGCAGCTCATCCGCCGCACGGTCAACCCCTGTGACGCCGGCCTGGCCGGTCTCTGCCCCATGACCGCCGGCAAGCTTTCCATGACGTTCAACATCCAAGTCGGCTCCGACGCCAGCGACGTTATTCCCGGCATCGCTTACAGCTTCCCGGATCTCGACGCCACCGTCAAGGTCTACATCAACATGACGTCAGGCGACCAGGCCGGCCAGACCGTGGCCTGTGTCGAGGCCGACATCTCCAACGGCAAGACGGTCAACTTGCTCGGCGTCAAGTGGGCTACCGCCATCGTGGCCGGCCTGGCTCTGGCGTCTTCGGCTGTTGTCTCGGGCCTGGGTCACTCAAACGCTGCGTCCCACGTCGCCGCGAACGCTCTGTCTCTCTTCAGCTACTTCCAGGGCCAGGCCATGCTGGGTCTGACGGGTGTCAAGCTGCCGCCTGCTGCTTCGTCCTGGACGCAGGACTTCCAGTGGAGTATGGGCATCATCCGTGTGGGCTTCATGCAGACCATCTTCACCTGGTACCAGCGTGCCACGGGCGGCACGCCGTCCCAGCTGTTCAATTCGCTCACGGCTGTTTCCGTCCAGGTCGAGAAGCGCTCGCTCAGCCTCGCGGATGCCGCCTCGCAGTACCTTCCAAACGCCATTTCGTACATGCCGCGCCACATTGCCATGGCCCCGCGCAGCCTGGTCCGCCATGTGACAACCGGTGTCAGCGCTGTGACCAACGCCGTTGCGAAGCGCTCCACTCTTGAGGTTAACAGCTCCGGTAGCTACGTTGTGTACGGTATCCAGCGCGTCGCGTACGTCGCCGGTATTGAGTCGACGAACTTGGTTCTGACGGGCCTGACCTTCTTCTGCATCTTCGTCGTCGTTGTCATTCTCGGCGTTGCTGCTTTCAAGGGCTTCTGCGAGCTTGCCGCCAAGCAGCGCTGGATCAAGAGCGACACGTTCCTTGAGTTCCGCAACGGCTGGTTCACCGTCCTCAAGGGCATCCTCTTCCGCGTCACGCTGATTGGCTTCCCCCAGATGTGCATTCTCTGCCTGTGGGAGTTTACCCAGGTCGACTCGCCTGCCATTGTTGTTCTGGCCGTCTTCTTCTTCTTCGGCATGCTCATCACGCTTGGCTGGGCCGCTTCCAAGGTCATCCGGATCGCCCGCCGCTCCGTCGCGATGCACCGCAACCCGGCTTACATCCTGTTCTCGGACCCCCAGGCCCTGAACAAGTGGGGTTTCCTCTACGTCCAGTTCCGTGCCTCGGCCTATTACTACATTGTCCCCATGCTGGTGTACACTCTGGTCAAGGGCATGTTTGTCGCCTTCGCCCAGTCCAAGGGCGTTGTGCAGGCGATTGCCTTTATCCTGCTTGAGGCCTTTGCTCTGATTGCCGCCACGGTCCTCCGCCCCTGGATGGACAAGAAGACCAACGCCTACAACATTGCCATTTGCGTCTTCAACTTTGTCAACGCCATTTTCCTGCTGATCTTCACCGACGTCTTCGGCATGCCTGGCCTCGTCATTGGCATTGTGGGTGTCGTTCTCTGGATCATGAACGCCGTCTTCGCCCTGGTGCTGCTGATTATGCTGATTGTGACGACGACTCTGGTCTTCATCCGCAAGAACCCCGATACCCGGTACCAGTTCATGGCCGACGACCGCGCCTCGTTCATGAAGTCGCAGACGCAGCTCAACACGACGACTGAGCTGGACGCCCTCGCTGTTACCGCCCGTGGCGACAAGGCTGGCTACAAGTCCAACCTTGACCTGGACGATGACAACGAGTCCATCTCGTCGGAGTCGCTGCGCCGCCGCACCGACCCCAACCTGGCGTCGGCCAATAGCGTCGCGGCTCCCAACAATAACTTGTACCGCGACCCGCCCCGCTCGCCCGTGGACCCGTCCATGCCCCTGTTCCCTGCCGACAACCGCAGCCACGCGTCGTTGCAGAACTCGGGCGGTGCGCCTCAAGCATACGGTGGCTACGGCCCCGTTCCTGGCAACGGTCGTTCGCCGAGCCCGTACAACAACTCCACTTCCAACCTGTCGGCGGGCGGCTACCGGCCACCGAACGGTGGCAACGGTTTCCGCCAGCAGAACAACCCTAGCCCTGCCAGCTTCCGCCAACAAAACAACGCCAGCCCGGCAGGCTTCCGCCAGCAGAACAATGCCAGCCCATGGCAGCGTGGTGCAGGCTACGACCACTAGAGGGGAACGCTTCAGCGGCACCAACAGAGCTCCAAAGCATTGTGACAGATGTGTTGTTTGATATTGTGCTTGGACGAACTGGCCCATCCAGCCATTTGTTGGGTAGCGTGTGCTTGGCAAGAACGCCTGTCTGCATTTGGCAGACCAGTCACTTGCTTGTTGAAATTTTATTGGTCTTTTGGTCTTTTTTTTTATCTCTTTTTATAAACAGCATGTCAAAAAGGCGTCTAAGGAAAGGAGGGCGACACCAAAGCCTAGGGTAGTTCTTTTGTTTCTCTATTCTCTTGTCTTCTGTATCGGAAGTGCGTTCGAGTATTTCTTTTGTCACCACCACGCTTCATCCCCCCAGCCTCCTCCCATTTGCATATCGGGGACGGCTTACTCTATTCCCTCTGTACACAACCGACCTCGTCCATTATCGCATCTGCGGTGCTTTCTTTTTTGTCTTTCCTCATTTCTTTACTATCAGTCAATTTTTTTTCAGTCTACAAATCACGCTTCACTAGTTATCTATTTTCTTACTTGAATCAATCACTGTTCTAAAGTACATCTTATCCTTCACATTTTTGTAGTCCGCCTCGGAAATACACACGTAAGTTGTGAGGTAGTTTGGAAGTTTTTATTCATTGCATACTTTCGGGGGTGGAATGTTCAAGGGAAAGTTGGGAAAACAAATAGCCTTCAGGGCTTGTTACTTTGTTCTTACACATAGGAAACAAGATAAATATTAGAGAAGTTAGGCAACATAGAAGGTTGATAATGAAGAAAAGCCAATTCGCAGTCGTTTTCAAGTCATTAAGAAATACAGTACACAGGCAAAAGGAAGAGCAAACACATAATACAAGGAGATACAAGAAGAGAGAGGGGGAGACAGAGAAATGGTACAAGAGACGAGAGCCAAGAGTACAAACAAAAGTGGTCAGGAAAATGTAGTCACAAGGAAAAGAAAAGGCAAGGAGGCACAAGACGATCTAGAAGAGATAGATGGAGAAGAAGAAGAAAAAAGAAAGAAAGATAGAAAAAAAGCAAAGGAAATAGGGTGACGAGAGGCTACAATTATAGAGCAATGCTCTTAAGATCGCTGAGACCCTCGGCCTCGAGCTGGCGCATGGCGGCGTCGGTGCCACCGGCCTCAGCCACGGCACGCACAAGACGCTCGCTGAACTTGCGGGTCTTTTCTTGCAGCTCGCGCTCGCGACGGGCCTTGGTCTTGGACGAGCCGCTGGGTGCGACGCCGCTCATAAGCAGGCTGTGGTCGTTGGGCGTAAAGTTGACAAAGCAACTGCCGCCATTGGAAGAAGCGGACCGTGGGCGGTTGGCCTCGACTGAGGTAGACCGCTGGCGACGGCTGGGCGTCTTGGGCTCGACTGTGGATGCACCAACTGCCGTGGCAATGGCCGCCGCAGCCGTCATGCTGGTAATGCCCTGCGTGGAGGACACGCGGCGCATGTTGCTGGCCGACCGGCGCTTGCGGATTGCGCCATGGCTAGAGGGTGTGGTGGCACCACTGGGCACGGCGCTGAAGCTGCCACTGCCGGGAGTGGGTGATGTCCGCGGCAGTGCCTGCATGGAGTGTGAGCGGCGGCCCAGCTGATGGCCACGTGGCGTGCTGGGTCCGGTCATGGCGGCGGCCGACATGCCGGAGCCATCGTCGCCGCTGCTGACCTTGGGCAGGTTGTTGACACTGGACCGCTTGCGTGGAGAGTGCAGTCCGTCGCCACGGCTGCCATGGTAACGGGCACCGGCCGAAGGGGCGCGCGGCTTGGGCCGACGGCTGCCACCGTTGGCTGTAGCGCGGTGGTCATGACGGTGCTCGTACTCAGTAGCAGGAACCGGCGGAGGCGGGGGGTAGCCTGTACCCTGTGGTGCGCCGGTGACGCCCGGGAAGTAGTATTGGTTCTGCTGGCTGCCAGGTGTGGTGGTGCCGGCCGCAGGCGGCATGTGGATCATGAGACCGTTGGTGGCCAGGTCGGGCATGCCGTAGCAGAGGTTGCCATTGACATCAAACGCCTGCGCGTTGGTAGCCATGTACCCGGGCGGGAAGCCAGTGTGGACGTTTGTGGTGTAGAGGGTGTCGGCGTCGCTGGCCTGACTGGCCTGCTCCAGCGGGTCACCGACGGCGGACTCAACGATGGACTGCTGCCACCAGTCTTCATCGGTGTCCATTGCCGTAGCAGAGGGGTCGTCCTCCACGGTTGCTGCCATGGCAGCCATGGCAGCTGTGGCACTGGCCGACGCAATAATGTTGGAGCCGGACATGTGGGCCGTGGCGTCTGCCAGGTACGCGCTCGGCGAGACCAACTGGCCGTGTCCCGTGCTTTGTCCAGAAATTTTAATGGCACTCGTGACAGGCGTGATGTCGTTGTCCTCGTCTTGGTTGTGCTGTGGTGAAGTCCTGCCGATGGGCGCTGACGGCGTCACAGAGGGCCAGCAGGCGCTGCTCACGCCACTGGGGGGCGGCGGCTGCAGGTGCGGGTGCGGCTGCTTCTGCTGCTGTTGTGGCGGATATTCCGTCTTGACGTGCGGGCGCAGAGTAAGCATGGCATGCTGCGGGTGCGGCTGGGGCCCTGGGGCACCACCTCCACCAAAGAAAGCGTTGGTATCCGCAAACGGGTCGTCGACCAGGCCGTTCACAAACGTGGCCATCTCGGCCGGGTGCAGGTCCTCTTCGCTGACGTTCTGGTGATGGTGCACCAGTTGGTGGTGATGGTGCAAAGAGTGCTGTGGAAACTGTGCAGCCACCAGACGGTGGAACTGGGGGCCGTCAGCGACGGACGAGGCGACAGAAGAGCACGCAGACGTAGAGAACGTCGACGATGTGGAGGACAGAGACGATGCCGTGCCGGTATGTGGTGGTGTGGGCGGGTAGCTGCCCAAGGCGGCGGCGTGTGCGGCCGACATGTCAAAGTCAAACTCCGGGTTGTCCGAGCGGTGGCTGCGGTAGTGAGCGTGGTGGCTCTTGTTCAGCTCCGGCATGCCGGCGTCGTTGAGGGTGGCCATGGGCGCAACAGTAGGTGGCACGGCCTCATGCATAAATGCGGTGCGTGAGCGACGCATGTTTGACGCCTTGTTGCGGAGCGTTGCGTAGATGCTCTCAAAGCGGCCCGTCTTCTTGGGTGAGGACGAGGCCGTGCGTTGCTTCCTAGGGGAGAGTGCAGGCTGGCTGGGGGGAGGCAGAGGGATGTTGTCTCCAGACAGGGACGAGCAGGAGGCAGATGCTCGGTGGTTGGGATGAGGGTGGAGAGGCTGGGAGTTGGGCAGAGGCTGCTGGGGGTGTCTCGGCGATGTGCGAGCAACTTGGGCAGAGTGAAGAGGATGAGGAGGAAGAGGGGGATGAGCAGACTGTTGAAGATTGTGAGAATGAGAAGGAGAATGAGGCTTGGGATGAGCATGGGAAGAATGGGAAGAATGGGAAGAAGGAGCAGGACGGGACGGCGATGAGGGCGGGGGGTTAGAGGGTAAATAAAGAAGTTGGGGAGCCTCAGAACGAGACGGCGAGGCAGAGGTTGTTTGGCCTGTTATGGTCGCAGTGCTAACAGAACTGGTCATGGACGATATGGACGAGGCGGTGGCCGCAATGTCCTCGTCTGGGCGATGCATGATCGAGAGATCTTGGAGACGGAGGAGCTGGTCGTCGTCTGTGGTGTTGCTGTTGGAGGTTGGCGCATTTCCTGGCGCCGGAGCTGTCGCTGGCGCGGCTGTTGCTGCTACTGACTCAACCGTCGCAGGTTGTGAGGGAGGCCGAGCAGATGCGGCACTAGTAGTCGAGGTAGAGGCCATCCTGGCGTGGCTGCGACCCCTGGCCGTCTGTCCTTGGTTAGCGGGCACATTCCCGATCGGGAGAGAGGCATCAGAAACGCCGGCATGGCCTTGGGGCCAGGTGACTGCGGGTGTTCTTTGTTGAGGAGGCTGCTGCTGGAGATCATAGTGCAACTGCTGGGGCGTGGCGCCAAGGGGGGGTGCGTCGTGGGGAAAGGGCTGCTGCAGGTGCACGAGGGAGTGTGACTGGGCATGTGCCTGGGGATGTGCCTGAGGATGTGCCTGAGGGACATGGACCAGCTGCTCTTGGCTGCAAGTGACCGACTCTTGGATCTGGCGCATCTGCTCGTTGTGCTCCTGCAGCTGCTGGAGGTAAATGGTCTGCAGGTACTGTGTATGCTGCTGCTGTGCCTGCTGCTGGTCGTCTCCGAACATATTGTCGCCTTCAAAACCTCCCTCACCAGTGGCCGGGACCATCTGATACTGGATCAGAACAGCATTCATCTCGTCAATCTCCTCCTGGCTCATCTGCTGGAGCTGCTGCTGGAGCTGCTGGAGCCGGTCATACTCGCCGTCCATGGCGTGGCCCTGGGCGTCCATTGTCACGAGATGGGGATCTCTCTCTCTTTCAAAAAAGAAAAGAAAAAAGAGATAAAAAGAAAAGAAAGAAAAAAGAAGCCCAGGAATACGACGTAAACTGGCCGTACGCTTCCCGTTTCGGCCAATCAGGCTCACGGACCTGCAGTAGTTGCAGTCGCAAGGCGCAGTAGCCGCAGTACAGCAGACGATGCAGGCGATGTGGACGATGCAGACGGGTTTCTTTGTTTGCTTCTGCAACGGCGATCCCCGGACGGTCTTTTTTTGGCAGCCGCGTTCTTTCTCGACTCGCGTGGTCTTGTTTACTGACGATTTTTCTTTCTTTCAGAATTTCTTTCAGTCCTTTCCTCAGCCTGTCTTTATCGCCTACTTTGACAGACAAATCAGTCTAACGCAGACGGGGCACGTCTTGTCTGGAGTGTGTGGGTGTGGACGTAGACTAGTCTGTCCCTGCGCAGGGATAGACGATCAGGGAAAGGGTAAACTGTAAGAGGCCGAAGCAGGTGGTGATGCTCGACTTGGCTTCGGTGGGGAGGCCGTTGACGATCTCCAGAGGTCGAGGTATAACGTGCACGGCGTGACTTGCGGAGTGTTGTGGCCTGGGTTTGTTTTTCGGTTGCCTTTTTGTTTGGTTTGTTGTGAGGCCGCGAGAGTTGGATTGTCCCGAAAAAGTAAAGCACCGTTATTGCCTGGTGTGACTGCCTTGTTGGGCTGTTGTGAATAGGAAGGAGCGACGTTCTAGACGATGTGCAAAAGGCAGAAGGAGAGGGAGAACACGTCGAGCTGGTCTTTCCTCTTCGGTCGAATCGGCGGGCACTTTCCCGTTTTGAAGAGCACCGTTCGATTGTGCTTTCCCCCGTGATGTCCGTTTATGACCGTTGGCGTCGATGCTTGGTCGTTCCTGCCACCCTTGCTTCTTGTTTCTTGTTTCTCGTTTTGACTCCTTTGTGTACGACAAGGAAGGTGGTGACTTGGGGATTGTAGTCGTGGGAAACTGGTCAGCTCGACTTGAAACGGAAATAATGTTGTATGGGAAGGAGCGATGGCGTTTCAAGGAGTAAAGAAATATAAGTTTAAAAAATAAAAATAAAAATTAAGATGAAAGTGCAGAGGAGCTGAAGACTGAAAAGATTGTGTGTCAATGCTGGCTGGAAAATGCAGTAGAAGTCAATTGATGCTTGAAAGGCTCTAACAATCGCGACGGAGACGAAGACGAAGAACATCCATAATAGACGATCACGTCGGTGAGAAGGAGAGTTTTGTGAGGCAGAAAAGTATCAAGGCGAGAGAAGCAAATCAGCAACAAAGTATATCAGAGTCAGAGCATGCTTTCCAAGTGTCCGACTCAGTCTGTCTGCTCACCAGCGCTGTCAACAAAATATCACAATGGACTGCAGCATCACTGGCACGGCAACAGGACGAGGCAGGAGACTTTTTTGGTTCTTCAACTGTCGAGTAGGTAATTACACGACAGAACACGCACTGATAGTAGCGGTATGGAAGAGGGCAGTCGGCCACAAGGAACTCTACGGCGAAACGGCGTCGTCAAGGCAATCGTTTACATTTCTGACGTGCACCAATCTTGCTGGAAATGGGGCCAGAGCAGGCCAAAACGACCGGCGAAATCACCCGAGGTTTCAGTCGACAAGCCTCTTTCAGCAAACAGCCGCACATCTTATTACATCAATGTTTGAAGACTAGTTCTGCACTTGCTAGTGCGAGTTGATTTTGCAAAACGTTGGCCAAAGTGTGCCTTGACTTTGCAACACTACAGCTTAACCCGATGGAGAAGGCCGTAAATCTTGCGAAGCGACAATCGAAATAGTATCGACACATACTCAACCAGAAGCACGACACCAGGGCAAAGAAAAAGCAGCACTGTATTTTGGCCATGCCGTATGGGCGCTGCAAAAGAACGGTGTGAGTTTTGTTGTGTTGTTGGCTCTAGAGAAAGATGGGTCATGAACTGATCCCTGTAATACGATTGGCTGAATGGTCAGGGAGAGTGGGGCGGCCATTCCTCATCTACATAGTGTGATTGCCTCGTACTTATGGACTTTCGTGTCAACAAGTCCAGCATGCCAGTTGGTATTGGTAGGCGAGTGCAAGAAATGTGTCCAGGCGAGTGTACAAGTGGTGTGTCCTGTTTCTGTTGAAAAGGAAACAATTGAGACCTATTTGCGGTGAGAGGATATGCCAAAAAAAGAACGAAAGAAATAAAAAGAAAGAGAACAAAGAGGACAGAACGGTAAAACAACTCCAGTCAAAGAGAACAGAATAACAGAAACGAAAAGAAAGACAGAACAACGGACAGATACAAAGTACAAAGTATGTTTTCAGCCTTCTGGCTTGCTCTTTGCCTTTGACCAAGTTGTCTTTGACAGCTCCGGATTGTGGCTTGGCAGACAAAGCCGGACATGGGGGAGGGGAGGGGTGCAATATTACCGGAATTTGAGCATACAAGAGGCTGAAAAGAACAGGGGGCTGAATCGACCAGAGTGCAAGGCGCTGGACGATAGAAAAGAAAAAGCGGCCTTACTAGAGGAAAGTCGACGAATAAGAGGCCAAGGAAACCAGATGAGCCGGCGAAGTAAACGAAGGTCGAGGAAGAAGGTAAGAGGGGAAAGACAACGGAAACTAGAGTGTCCTCTCCTGCCATAAATAATACAGTATGCTGGTGCAAATGTCGAGTCCACCACAGAGAGGCGGTGAATAACTCCAAGTAAAAACGGGTGCCTTGAAAAAGGGAAAAAGAAAGTCTCCTGGAACCGAATATACAAGATTAAGACTGTACGAAACACAGTAATACCGCGTCCTCATTTACATGGCACAAAATAAGGCATATGTCCCCAGTCTTCTCCCTATACAGCTGAACTGCTGGTAGACAAAATACGACGTCGGGTTGTACTGGGGGCGATAGTGAGACATATGCACGAATACGAAAGATGATGTTGAGAAGATGCAAGAGATGTATTTCTCGAGGGACGATTATTCCCATCTTCACGAAGCGGCAGATGAGAAAAATGTAAAGAGAGAGATGTGATGGACAAGTCGCTTGCTGAAGAGAAGGAAAGCAGACCGACATGCCCACCCTCTCAATGCATCCACATTGGGCAATGGACCGCCCTCTTTTTTGTTATTTTATTTTATATTTTCCTCCGATACTATTGGCAGATTTCCGCCATCTCCTACTTGCCTCAACGGTTGACTTATTCTTGCTCACTCGTCGTGTTTTGGCTCATGATTGGTGTTGGCGCCGGAGTTGACCACCTCCCTTTGCTCGTAGCGGATGATGAACGACGGCCGTGTGGCTAGAGCTAAGTGAGCCCTTGGATCGCCAGACCGTCGATTGATGCGCTTTTGGTTTTGGATTTGGCGTCGAATTTGTCTTTAGACTTATTTGATGCCGTTTGCCGCTTAAGCGCGCCTCAAAGAGCCTCCAGGCCCTGTTCACCGTTCCCCGTCTTAGGCAGGTAAAGGTAAGATAATCTGCCGTACCGTCATGTAAAGGCGAAAGAGAATAAAAACTGGGGGTAAGGCAAATGGATGACTAGCTCAAAACGTGGCCTGAAGCTATTGTGTACGTCGAGTATTTTTTTTTTTTTTTTTTGATCTTACCAGCCGACACCTATTATGCTCTCCGCTCTTTCGGATAGTGCACCCTGTCATATCCTCTGTCCCACATCCACTCAACAATCTTGTCAGAAGCCAAACTGCCATCCGCCACCCCCAACTACGCCCAGGATATGCCAAAAAGGTGCCTACCATGATGTCTATTATGCGCCAGATTCGACCAGAGTGCAACTGTCAGAACCAACAGACGGCACTAACCCCATTTTGAGCTTGTGTGCATAATGCTTTTTTGTGCGCTACATGTCGTAATTCTGTCATACGCAGTATTTTTTCTCATGCTGTCGTATTCCGGCCTGTCTTCTTTTGCTTTTGGTTGAACGCCAACCTACTTATTGTGGCCGCCAAACCCAAACGGGCCAAGATCCGGAGATGTGATCCTTAGTACACCAACTGACGGCAGCTCAACACTATCCTTGTCCGGCCTGCTTCAATGCAACAAGTGAGACTAAGATGGATAGTTTAAAGTCAAAAAAGACAAAACGCAAAAGACAGAGACGGGGGGAAAGAAGGAAAAAAGAATGATAAAAAGGCCTGAATGGATGATCAGACGACCTTGTGCTGCTGGGCCCAACAGACGATCAGCCAACAACCTGTATCTCGACAGTCGTTGAGGCTTTTGATAGCGTGGACGGGCTGTTTTTGTTTGTTGTTGGCAGACCGTTTGACATATGTCGTGGCAAATGATATTCGATCATGTTCCTAGTGACTGTCGCCTTGCCAAACAGGGCTGGCTCTTGTGTGGCATGGACGGCGTGAAGTACATGGGATCTTTCGATGCCTGACAACGAATTTGGAAAGCGTAAACGATGTAGATTTGAGGCTAAAGCTATGATTGATCGCTGATGTTTGGCCGCCGCTTGAGCCATGTGGCCTTTCTTTTCTCCTTCCCTCCCGTCCTATCCGCTGGTATTTCTGATTGTTTCCTTTCATTTCTTTTTGTGCCCTCTGTCTCCTCTTTCTCTTCATGTTTCTATATTCGCCGGCCTTTTTTTTTTTTTTGTTTTCATTATTATCCTTTGCACTCGTCTCTGACGTTCTTGTTCCTTCTGTTTCCTCCTCGTTTTGCCTTCTTTTTTCTCACTCTTCTCCGTTTCCCCTTTCAGTGTCGTTCACTCCTTGCAGTAAACATATCTACCGAGACCCCGGGTACGAAGACAATAGGTTCGCGACCGAACTGCCCGACTCCTCGGGGCGGATACCTGACGCACAGGGACTGTATTTTTGAACTTTTTTCAGAGGGCGAGATAGAGAGAGCAATGACCGAAGGGGGGCCCGTGTTTGCAATGATTTGCTTCGCATTCGTGCCGTGTAGATGAAGGATGCAGATGCAGACGCAGATTCCTTTCCTGTTGGAAATCTCTAGGCCGTAC